TCATGATCCCCTACTGTTTTTCAGAGACCTCTCTTTTCATGGTCACTGACTGCAATCTTATCTTCTATATCTGAGAGTCTATCTTCTCATTCTTTTATTCTGTTGCATACACTTTCAATAGAGTGTTTAATTTCCTGGGTATCTGTTTGAATCTGTTTTATGGATTCCATTTCTTTCCTATGTTGGGCGTTTATTTTTTCCATTTCTTTCTTATGCTGGGCCTTCATGGATTCTATCGTGGTCCTGAGCTCATCTGTTTTTTTTTGTCAGTTTCTGCTCTAGAGTCTCGAATCACGACTTCCATTTTGCTCACTATCTCTATGGTTATCTGGGAAATTATTTCTGTTTTGAATTTTTCTAGAGCCTGATAGATCTGTTTTGTTACTTCCTGTGCTTTGAGTTCAGGTTGTCCTGGTGGTTCACTATCAGCCTTTTCATCCTCATTTGCCCTACTGTTTGCCATTGGTAAACTGGAAGTCTGTCCTTGTATCTTGCTTAAGTGTTTTCTCATTTTTATTTTTGTTGTCGGACTGTCCTTGATTTAATGTCTGGATTATAACCCAAATCTTCCTGATATAGTTGTGCCCTAGCTTCTGTGTCTCTAATGACCCACAGACATCCTCATCTTCATAACATCAGAGAAAACAGCTCATCAAATCAACTGCAATGCTTTACCCCAAGTGATACAATCAGCAACACATTAAGATCAAGCACAACTTTGACACTGACCACCGGTGGTAGTCACTAGTCACTTCCCAGAGGTGGGCAGCAGCCAGGGCTGCTTGAGCTGGTTCCCCTCCTAGGACTTGTTCCTTGTCTTCTGGGTCCTTCTGGACCCCTGAGCCTGCCACTTCCCCGCTGCAGGCCCCTTGGATACCATCAGCTGTGATGCAGGGAGGCCACAGTGCGGTTGGTCAGGTGCTCAGTTTTCTGCTGATTTTTGAAGCACATTTGTAGATCTCGCCCCCTACCCCTGGCGATGACCCCAGGAGCTTAGCTGCCACCCTGCACTGTGCACCTGGCTGCACCGCCCCTCCTTGGCACTGCCGCGTGCAACACTGCTTCCTCTCCTCAGCAGGGTGGCCCCCCAGCCCACAGACAGCAGCCTGGGGCTCTAGGGTGCAGCTGCTTGGGTCGGCGGTGGTCTGCGTCCTGATGCAGGAGGGGGCAGAGCTTGCTGTGTCCGGTCTGCTCAGTGGTCACAGTGCCACAGCCCTTCCGGATCAGGTTCTGGTCCTCGCTGGACCCCTCACTCAGAGGGGCGGGGACAGGTGGGCCTGGAGGGGGCTCTGGGCTGGGCAGGGTCTCTGAGCCCAGCTGCCTGCAGAGCTCGCCCTTCCCTCAGGGTTGCGTCCTTTCCTAGGAAGGGAGTCCACTCAGCCTGGGCTGCTAGTGAGGCCAGGATGAGAGCCGCCCTGACGCTTTCCCCTGCAGGCACCTGTACTGGATTTCGTCTGGTGGGCTTCTCCTTGTGTTGCCTTCTTGTGTCTGCTCTTTTTTTACCCCCCTTTTCTGGCACCTTCCCTCTGGTCAGGAATGGTAGGAATCTCATATTCTTCATGGAGCACTTAGTGAAGAAGAACCCAGTGTCTGGGGTGGTGCCTTGGCCATAACTAGTGCTGTGCTAAGGGGGCTGTCTGCATTATTATAGCAATGAACTCATCTGACAGGGGAGTAGTAAAAATGGGGCTTGAATTAGCGATCACCCAGTTTTCCTAAGACGTGCCAGTGGAGCCTTCCAGGAGGATTAGAATTTTTCTCAAAGTAGTTTTCTCAAGATAGTTCATTACAATACGGGCTCTTTGGGAGGCCAAGGCAGGAAGATTGCAAGTTCAAGGACAGCTTGGGCTATCTATAGAGGGTTAGAGAGATTCTAAAGAACTAAAAAGCATTTGACTACCGGAAATGAAACTCAGTCAAGAAATGGGTAGACACGAGGAGGAGGAGGGGGACAGGGAGGGGAGGGAGAAGGGGGAGGGGAAGGGGGAGGAGGAGGAGGAGGAGGAAGAAGTGTGAATGGCAAAAAATACATGAAAGCATGCCGAACACCTCGGGCTGTGATAGTTAACTGTGTTAACTTGAGTAAGAAAAACGCATATCAAAATTGGCTCAGTGTAGTTCTGGGAAGACCCATTCTAGGGAGGATCATCGCCAGAATGCTATAAAAGGGAAGGAAGAAGGGAGGCTGCTTCTGTGTCTGGGAGGAGCTCCAGTCTTGACCTTCACCTTGGACGTCGTCTCTTGGCTTCAGCGCAGACCCTTCGGCCTCCTGACAGGGACTCGCATGGGACACTCAGTGAGCTCCGGTCCTTCACTGGAGCCTTGGGATCTCCAGCCAGCAGACAACCCTTGTGCACTCTTCCACGCGTGACTCCGCGGGCGGCCACTGTGAGCCAACCTTGTACATCCTTATGTATTTGTATATCTGCTTCTCTAGTAAGCGGTGCCTGATACACTGGCCATTGGAGAAGTGTGGATAAGACGACACTAAGACTCCATCTTTTTGTTTGTTTGTTTGTTTTTGAGACAGGATCTCACTGTGTAGTTGAGACTGACCTGGAACTCACTATGTAGCCCAGGCTGGTCTCGATCTCACAGTGCTCTTCCTGCCTCAGCCTCCTGAGTGCTGGGATTACAGGCCTGCGCCACCACACCTGGCCTCCACACAGTTTCTTTTATACAATAAACCCCAAATATAAATAATTTAAAGAGCAAAGTAGCAGGGAGATGATAGAAAAGCTGGAGGTGGATTTTTAGAGATGGGAAGGAGATCTGGAGGAGGAGAGAGGATAACAAAGGAGGGGGAGGGGGAAAATACACACATTTTTTTCCCCAAAATGAATGCAGTTATTGTGCTTCACAAACCAATAAAATTTTCCCATTACAGTTTCTTTTTCCCCTCACTTCCCATCGTGTTTCCCGTCATGACGGTTACAACTGGGAGAAGCAGTGCAGCCTGGAAGGTTAGAAAGTGCTCCTTCCTGTTTTGTGCCCTTTAGGGTGAGTCACAAAGGCATGAGCATGTTTGCACCCAGAGTGAGGGAACGAGAGACGAGGGCAGCAGTCCATGCCTAGTAGCAGTGTGGGCACCGCCATCCTGATGCTGAGGGAAGTAGTTTCCTGGACGGAGTGCAGGACAGATGTGGCTCAGGACTGGGGCTTCGGGCTCTGCCCTTGGTAGAGGACCGGTTTCCTCCCTCCCACCCCGCTGCTTCCCGGGAGCAAGTGCTCTGACTTCTTTTCCCTCTTACCCCTGGCCCACCGGTGCTGCTCCTGGGCCCACATCCAGCTGGCACTCAGGAGACTCCGAGTCGGGTGGTGCTCTGGGGTTCAAGGCCCACGCAGGTCAGGAGAGCCAGGAGCGGACTTCGGGGCCAAATGGAGGCCACACACGGGCTCTGGAGCCAACAGCCCCTGCCTCCGTCTGGCTGGCAGCTATTCCCAGCCCCAGAGCCCTGCAGGCAGACTGAGCCCTGTGGTACACCGTGGATTACGGTAATGATGGTGAGCTGCACTTTGGAAAATCACTAAGTGAGTACATTAAGTGTTCTAGGCCCATGGAAATCCGAAGCGCGTGTGGTAATTCAGAGGTCAGTGGTCTCAGGGCATCCAGTCCGTAATGTGCAAGTTTCAAAATAACATGTTAGGCACAGTTCATATATAGATTGAAAATTTTCACTTAAAAATAAATTTTAACAAACCTTGAACTTCCTCAAACTCATCTTTTGGGTCTCTAATCCAAGAGATGGCTTGTGCGATAAAAAAGCGAAATGTCACATGTGAATGCTGGAGCCCCTCTGGAGTGTTTTCTCTTCCCTGAAAAGGTGGTTTTCTTGCTTGTTATTTTATTCAGTTAAGAGAAACCATGTATACTTAGTCCCATTGCTTTCCCTACCTATATAGAGTGCTCAGGCTTTTGGACAAATATTAGTATTTTGGAAACTCCTCTAATGTATCCTTGCTTCAAATTTTATGCTATATTATAATTTGTCATCCATACTTTTAGTTCTTTTCAAAGAAACTTCTTCATTTACTCATTGTTATACACAGACACACACAGACACACACACATACACACACACACACATTTTTTTTTTTGGTATCGGGAATTGAACTCGGGTCCCTGTGCTTGTGAGGCAGGGAGTGGAACCACTGAGCTAAATCCAGCATTTACTCATTGTTTTGTGGTCAAATTTTAAAAGTTAAGTGCTGTTCAAAACACAGGGAAACGTTTATTCTCTATTCTTTCTGCACATTATGTATTAGTTTTTGCTGTCTCAACCCATATCTCCACTCCATTTATAGAGTCAGGAACTTCATGGCCGATGAGTTAGTTTGATAAGCTGGTCTGGAAGAGTAATTGGGTGGACAAACAGATCGGTGGCTCACACCCCTTGATTCAGGCGGGAAATCACTGGGTGGTCACCAATCGGATGCGCAGGCCCACTTCACAGACGCTACATCGACAGGTCTGCTATTATTATCGAAGATCACAACTGGCTCTAATGCAAGTGATCAGGGAGCCATTATTCAGAAATAATGATGCCGATGGAAGACTTTACATATTTAGAAGGTCAGAAGAGAAATGACAGCCCCTTTAGGTAGATAGAACAACGGGGCACATTTGCTTGATTCTTTACGGTGTGGACCTCCCCACGCCTTTATCCAATGAGTGCTTCCAAGGAATGAATGCCCCGTGTGCAGAGTCCCGGGTTCTAAGGGTGTAGACACCAAGGGCGCCTTTCCTCAAGGAGCCAACGTGACATTTGTGAGGTATTAAGTACAAATGAGAGAGGGGACTGACGGGCACATTTCCTACCTCTCACCAGAGCGTCCCCTACAATGATCGGACAACCATCCCAGGAGCGAGGGAGGGAATACATTTTCCAAAGTTTTCTGCAACATCACTGACTCTAAGATTAGCTGAGTGTTCCAAGGTCTCCCAGAGGTTAGTATTTAACTGAAAAATATCCCCTTGTTGGTGCACTTCTGTGATTCCTTCAACTGATAGTGATACTTCTCTCCTGGTACTGCCCTACCAATTTTTTCAGTGAATTGAGAACTTCTTTGTTCCTGAAACTATAGGCGAGTGGGTTCAGGAAAGGAGTCAGGACCGTTCCGAACAGAAACAAAACCTGATTCAGCTTTGGAGTCTTGGCAGAGCCAGGTCTCATGTAAATAAACATCCCAGGACCAAAATAGAGTCCCACGACGCAGAGGTGAGAGGAGCAGGTGGCCAGCGCCTTACTCTTGCCTTCCGGGGAGCTCATTCGGAGCACGGCTTGGAAGATGACCACGTAGGAGGACAAGATGAGCGTCAAGGGCAGCAGCAGAACAAGGATGCTGGTCACCACCACAGCCTTCTCGTAGACTGAGATGTCCTCACAGACTGTCCTGAGCACCGCCATGACTTCACAGAAGAAGTGGGGGATCTCTCTGGGGCTGCAGATGTGAAAGCGTAAGGTGAAAGCAGTGTGGCCCAGGGACGTGAGCGCCCCTCCAGCCCAGGCCAGCGCAGCCATCTGCAGACAAACCCTGGGGCTGACTATGACCGTGTAGTGGAGGGGTTTACAGATGGCCACATAGCGGTCGACGCACATGAACGTTATGAGGATGCATTCTGCAATGGCTACACTCAGGGAGAAGAAAATCTGAGTCCCACAAGCCAGGAATGAGATGGTCCGCGAGCCAGAAAGGGAGTTGGCGAGCATCTTGGGAATGATGCTGGAGCTCAGAGTCAGATCCATTAAAGAGAGCTGGCTGAGCAGGAAGTACATGGGGGTGTGCAGGCGGGGGTCCAGGCAGATGAGCGTGAGCAGGAGAGTGTTGCTGGCAAAGGCAGCTGTGAAGATGAGGAAGATGAGGGTGACCAGCACCGTGATGTGTCTGAACCCCGGGAAGAAGCCCAGGAGAGTGAAATCAGTGGGTTCGGTGTTGTTTCCTTTAACCATGGCTGTGCAACATTGAACTGGAAAAGACATAAGAGTGTCACAGAGGCGAAGCAGTTTGCCGTTAAAGCTGGAGACTTACTGTTTGCGGTATTTCCACATATTACTGCAGCCTTCTAGCGATTATAAATGTCTCAACAAAATATACTGTTGAGTTGATAATTCACAACCTCCATTCGCACGTCACTTTTTCTTTATTCACAAGTTTTTCATTATTTCAGAAAATGATACTGGTGCCATTTTCATCTTTTCAGTGATTTCTTTAGTAAAATAACTCCAAAAAACTTTCAGGCCAAATATTATTGCCCAGAAATGAAACAATGTGAATTTACCTATAGGAGAATTTAAAAAAATTTAAAAATATTTCTGCTTTACTCAGACCTCCCAGCTATAGGCAACACAGTCTAAGGGGAATACAGTGAGTCACTAGGGCTGCTCATGGTGCCTTACACACTACAGCTATTTGAGCTTTTAACCTGATCGGGCAGTGTTCTATCTGGGGGAAAATACTCCTTTTACTTTCTTGGTCTATCATAAATTTAGATTGTTAGTAATGGGGAAAGATTTCTTTTTTTGTGACCTTGTAAGGCTCCTGCTGTTGAAAAATTCATACGACGCTCCACCCGTAGCTAAAGCAGTTACGTCTATGACGAGCACGGGGAGACTTCCAGGGCTTCAGTCCTCCCGGGCTGCATTTTCCTCAGGCTCAGTCAGACCTGTACGAGGTGTGATTAGAGATGATGCTGAATGTTTGAAGTTTTAAAGAGTTTCTTATAGTAGAAGACACACTACCGTAACACTCACTCAAAACCCTTCTCACTTCCAACACGCTCACCCTACTCCTCTTGCCGCTCTCTGAGGCCGTTCTGTGAGTGCCTTTAGTGCACTGTTCCCGAACTGACTGAAATATTTTCCTTTCGTGGTCACTGTGACTCTGAGGAAGAGGCAGAAGTCTCGGTGTCGGATCCGCTGACTAAAGTGGATGTGGACACACGTGAAGCTTCTGCAAGGCTTTCCACTGGATGGCTCTTGGCAGCAGCAGTCACTGTACTTTTAATAACATCTCTTCATGACACTCAGGAACGATGGGATAAGTGCGCTGGAAGTGCGCTGGTGTATTCTGATGGGGATTCAAAACAGTGTGTCTTTTATTGTAATACATTTAAAAAGTTTAAATATACTTTATCATGCCTTGTATAACCACCTTGCTGGTATCTGTAAAACTATTTAAATGGCTACCCAAATTCTTCCTGAGTTATAACGAGAGATAACACACCCATCTCCTCCTAAAGCTTTTATGTCCTCATTACACGGACCTAACGAGAACAGTAGGAAGAAAGGACAATTGCAAGACAATTGCAGTTATGGAAATAGTGTTAGAAGTTTTAAAACTAGAGAAATTTACTTCAACACCATATGTAAGAAACACAACTATAAAGTTAATGGAAGAAAAGATTCAACTTGGAGTGAATAGCCTAAAGAGGAAAAACACTCCTTCTGTTAGTTAACAAAAACTGGCAAATTTTATCCCCAAACCAAATTTTAAAGAATTCTAGAAAACCAGTAATAAGATACTGATACTGTGGTATCCTTTTCTGTTGTCTTCTTGACAGCCCATGATGCTCATTTCTTCATGAAGTCATTAAAAATCTAATTATAAGTGGTTAGGCTATCCTCCCCTCTCCTGAAAGGTCTGTTTATGTTGCAAGTGCCAATATGAACAAGACACAAATATCCTTTTATCTACAGAGAAAAGTCTGGAAGAGTTGGTGCCTTCTTCTCCTCAGGAAGATTGAAAGTGGTCTCAAATGTTTGGTTATGGCTTACTTCTCCAGTTCCTGTGCTGTTTTGGTTTCAACTCACTGCTTCCATCCAGACCCTTGATTTAAATTTGTTCATCAAAATAGAGATTGATTTTTGAATCCAGAACTTGTGACAGCAGAAAAAAATTGTGGTATATTCTCCTCTTACAGTCATTAAAGAGGCACAATCTTCTTGCAGACACCAGCGGACTACTCTGGGCTGGCACTCCAGGAAGTTACTGATCTGTACACAGCATCCTGTGTTAGAACTCTACATGACCATCAGTTTTGGCTCAGGAGATTATGTACTGACCGTGTATACAACATGTTACCGGATGTCTGACCTGAGGAGCCTCCTCACTGCGGACGTGGAGGTAGGCTTAAGATTTAAAATGCTTGATCTCATGGGCATAAAAAGCAGAATTTTGGTTACCAGAAGCTGAGCAGGGTGAGGGGGTCGCAATAAGGAGAGGTGAGTTAAGGGATACAAGATTCCAGTTAGAAGAAGTGAGTTCTGGGGTCCGCAGCACAGTAGAGTGGCTATGGATCAATGACATATTTCAACACAACTGCATGAGAGGACTTTGTTCCCAACACAAATGTAAACGTTTGAGGTAACAGATACACTGATTACTCTTGGCTGTCACATATTGTGTACAGGTACTGAAATTTCACACGTTACCCCATATGTGTAGTAATTACATGTCAATTAAAAACATTTTAATGACAAAACTGTCCTGCATGCATCTGTTCTTTTCTTCCTTACAGTGAGTCTTGGGGAAGTTGACAGGTTGTCTGTGCCTGACCTAAAGTCGTTGAATGGAGATACTGAGAGTGCGGAGTGGCCGGACCTTTGAAAATTGCTTACCTTTGCAGGGCTCTGCGGTTTAACTGTTGTGTTATATGGCATCTCAGTTGCCTTCATTTCTAGTTCAAATGCTGCTTCCCAAGGCTTTTAGCATTTTGAGATTGGCTGGGTTGTGTGATTATAAAATCTCATCTGAAACCCTCTTGGCACAGCCTGGATTGAAACATCAGTACCCTCACTGCTTTTTGATGATGGACCTTAACTTCTGCTTCAACCACTAAACCGTGAGACGAATGTTGGGAGAAACTGTTAGCCAGACTGAGCTTTCAGACTTTGGCTCCAGAGCCTGGACTAAGTCAGGGGCCTTGATCATAGAATTTACCCTTAAAGTCCATAATTTATTATTATCTTACTGGCTTCAAAGCACTGTCCAACATTTTATCTCATTGGTATATGGAGGAGATGCCGCCTCGTTACATTCACTTAAATGATACGTGAAGGCCCACCTGTTGTCTCCTCACACAGCTGAACAATAGCTCTCTTGCACTCTGTCAGGTACCCATTTACCATGTTTGAGCCTCACAAATGCTCTTGAAGAATGATTACAGAATTAGCCTTATGAATGTATTTTCACAAACCAGAAAAATTGGTTTACCTCTGTACCGAGGTGCCTACCTTGTAGCCCTTATTGTCATTTCTTGGGAAGGGTGAAGCATGCAGGATTCCTTCTGCCCATTGGTGCTGATTCACACTTGAAAGCTAAGCTGTTTCTTAGCAGTGCGGCCATGAGCCGGCTCTGATAGATGCAACACCTGCCTCTGCCTCAGCCTGGCAGCTCTCGCACCCTTGCCAGCTCAGCCCTGCCAGCCGCTCACTGGGGCGCAGGTGTCTGGGTGTTAAGTCCATGAGGAATCCTCTGCTATGGTACCATTAGGGCTTTTCCAAACTCTCTACTGACTGCATATTCTGGGATTAACTTTTTGTTAATTTTCAAATTAACGTCAATGTCATTTCCCTAGAGGCTCACTGTGAAAATTTCTTTGACTTTTAATCACTGACCCCATACACTCATGAAATTATTGATTTTTCTAATTTCTTATTTTTTCTTTCTTTTCTCTTCCTGGGAGCTATAACTCTAGACCCATTTTTATAGCAGCTCAATTCACAGGACTAAGTGCTGGAAACAGATTACATGACCATTGACAGACAAAGACCAGGACAGTGTTCTAATTACAAGTGTATATTTTGCCTATTCTATTCCTAATTTGAGAATGCTTCGCCTTGTCCTTTATGAGCCTTGTTTACATTAATCTCTGTAGAAACCACTCATTGCCTTTACCACAACTGACTGCCAATAAAAGTCAGAGTGCATTTGTCAGCTGCGCTGGCATTGGTCGTTCTGCACTCCCCGGCCTGCTCTTTCTCTCTCTCTCTCTCTCTCTCTCTCTCTCTCTCTCTCTCTCTCTCCTGTCTCTTGATGTATTTATTTCTCAGGTTTGCATCAAACACTGGGCAGGTGGGGACTGGAACCTGACTACAAGGGTCCTGGCAAACATGCTTTTACTTCCTGAAGAAATACCTGCTGCAATCCTGTGTAAATGTAGTACACTAAGTAAATATTCTTTTTCTCCAACTCAACACAACTTTCAACATCTCCCATCACTCCATCCAGTTTTTTCACCAGTCTTCTGCCACACGGGGTCATAGCTTTTGGTCTGTGCTACAGTCTCCGACAGCCGCGATGGAAGAGCTGCCCTCACAGAGCGCACATCTTCCCCCACAGTCTCCGCACAGCTGTCTTGATCTCCTTATTTCTCAGGCTGTAGATGATGGGGTTCAGGAAGGGAGGCAGAACCGTGTAAGCCAGAGCGATCCCCAAATCTTGGGTGGAGGAGGTTTTTGCAATGGGTCCCAAGGCGGCGAAGAGCCCCGAGGTGAGGAAGAGCAGGATGACGACCAGCTGCGGGGAGCAGGTGGAGAAGGCTTTGGCGCGGCTCTCCACCGACGGGATCCTGAGCACGGCGGAGAAGATGTGGGAGTAGGAGACCGCCATGAGCAGGAAGCACCCCAGCACCAAGCACGAACTCAGAGCCAGAGTCACGAATTCCGCGAAGAAGACCTCCCCGGAAACCAGGGCCAGCACGTGGGGGATGTCGCAGAAGAACTGGTGGATGGTGTCGGAGCTTGAAATGGGCTCCCAGAACATGTTGCCAGTGTGGACCGAGGCGTAGGCGAAGCAGCTCAGCCAGGCGACGGCTGCCATCTGGCGGCACTTCCCCGGGGTCATCGCCGCGCCGTAGCGCAGCGGGTGGCAGATGGCCAGGTAGCGGTCGTAAGACATGACGGTGAGGAAGGCCAGCTCGGCGGAGGCGAAGGCAAAGAAAAAGTAGACCTGGGCCACACAGCCGAGGTAGGAGATGGAGGTGCTGCGGGCCAGGGAGCTGTGGATCGACTTCGGCACCGTGACGGAGATGTAGCAGGAGTCCAGAAAGGAGAGGTTCTTCAGGAAGAAGTACATGGGCGAGTGAAGGCGCTGGTCCAGAGTGACGACCGCCACGATGAGCAGGTTCCCCGCCAGCGCTGCCAGGTAAACCAGCAGAAAGAGCGCCGCGTGCAGCAGCTGCAGCTCCCGGACGGCGGAGAACCCGGCGAGCAGGAACTCTGTCACCGCAGTGAGGTTGCCCACGTGGCCAGGAAGTCTGTGTCCTGATTGTGAGGAGAAAATGCGCGACAGTTGGAAAGGAGACAATGAAATATGAACACGAGGTTGCAGAAACAGCGCTCTCCTTCCTTAAATGGAGCCCCTGGTGTCCTCCTCACTGCTACAGCAGATGCAGGGGTGGTCGGTGACTGTTTTTAGCATGAAAAGAAAATCTGAGATATGCCTAAGACAAAAATTGAGAGCGCATTTCCAAAACCTTTTTGATCAGTACATTTCATTTACCATGCAGTACTTTCTGAACATGAGATGAAGACTTTAGGCCTGGCCTTATGGTCTACACTTGCTATCCCAGCACTCTGGGAGGCTCACAAGTTCCAGCCCAGTCTAGGCAATTTAGAGAGTTAATGAGACCCCCTTGACTCAACATGAAAACTAAACAAAGTCTGGGGATGTAGCTCCCTGAGAAGGCCCTAGGCTCGATCTCCAGTACTGCAAAAAACAAGAAAACAAAAAACAAATAAAATATAAAATAATTTGCCCATCAAATAGACTTGGGTGTTTATTAAAAACACAGCTTTTCAGTTCCGAGGTAAATACACTAAATAAGAATTTATGGCATAAAATCAACAGCCTCCCTCAGATGTGTGTCTCTGGCTGATTTTTGAGCACCAAGGTTTGTACATGTACCTGGCTGCAGATTCTCAGCGGGCTCAGACTCAGGGCCTCTCTAGGTAGCTGCTAAATGACTTTGGAGGAAGGAGACATCTAAGTGAGTACTTAGACTCCCGCTGTGGAACGGAAGTGTAATGACTTAAAAACACACTATGAGTGGTTCTACTTTGAAGAGAGGAGGGCTTGTCTTGTTCTAATGCATAAGTACAGCAAGAACATTAACAGCAAAGCCACAACTCTTGCCCATTACCTTGTCTGGGGTAGGTGCCTTTTTCCAGAAGGTAACCAGTTAATATTTATAACGTCCCAATAAATGTAATGTCACAATAAGCGAAAAAGGAGTCAACAGAGCAAGGTCAGTGATCGTGGCCCTGTCACTCAAGAGCCAGAGTCAAGTTTATTAAACCAAGTTTATTTGGTCACCTCGTTCCATTAATGACTGACTCTAAGAAGCATGTAACTGTTTTGCTTTACAGCTAGGCAAATACCAAATGTCATTGTTACTTGTAAGAAAGGTTGAAACCCACAGTTCATGACAAATTTTGAAGATAGTCTTTGAGAAGGATATAAATAGGATAGTCTGAAACATTTCAGTGCACTCTTAAGTATTGCAAAGAATCACACTGTCATAGAATCAGATGTTGAGTAATGAATATTTTCAAGGTAAGTAACAAAGGATCCCCATCTTTTGTAAAGAAAAATTATAAAAACATAATGTAAAAGAAAAATATGAGTAAAACATGGACAAGCAGTTCATCAGACCAAAAAACTAACGACCAATTGCCAATTCAAAAACGGGTCCAGTCTTACAGAAATGCAAATGAAAACTTAACGAGATACTGTTTTGTGCTCGCTGATTTAGAGAATGCATGTGAGATGAAATATCGTGTAAAGTATATGTCGGCTACGTCATGGCTTGACAAGGAGGCGAAGGAATGAAGTTCCTTTCTCAACGCTGAGCACCATTTGGCAATCGCCGATGCCCCTGGAGATGTGGAGGTTTCGATGCCACCATGCCTGGGCCGACGGATGGGTGCTCGAGGTTTAAAGAGTGACATACTTAAGCGGGTTTGCTGCAGCATGTCTAACTCTCACTCACACCCCAGGAGAGAGTGGATGCTTTACTCCTTTCAACCCAGATCGGGACACTCGGTACTTACGCTGGATGTGACAGCCCACATACATCAGGATAAAAATTTCAACACGGCTTTTAGGAAAAGGAAGGAAGCTGCAACGTATTACATAGAACGTGTTTCACATGGTATGAGTGTGGATACTCAGTACACGGTACATTATTGGTGCACATGCACATGTATAAAACTACATAAAGCAGTTATGGGAGCAATGGGCCGTACCAATGAATGCACATGGAGTTGTATATTGATGTAATGAGGATAAGGAGAAAAAGCATTGATTGTGTCTGCAGCATTTAAATATTTAAAAGTCATTAACATCAACAAAAAATATGAATAAGCAGTAAAACTTGGCACCGGTTACTAACAATCATTAGTTTTCGCAAAGTCTCTTGATTTGGGATATTTCCTATTTTTAATATTATGCAAATTGAAGTCAAAGAAGCATTTGAAATACTTATGTGCATTATGCACTAGTCTTTGTTTTTAAACTACTCATAAAATTTGGTGAAAAGAGGTGAGACTGTTTCCTTTGGTATTATGGATATAATATACTATCCCATACATCAAAACATAACCATAGAAAATATTATAGAATATGTATTAAAAGAAATTATGGGGGTGCAAGTGTTTTTTACAATATTTTAAATTTTCATATTTCATGTGCGCTATATGATTTAACAGTGCATAGTAACTTGAAGATGAATTTTGTTCTTTTGCTTATGAATATAACTTACTGAGCTAGTAGCAAAATGATCATTTAATAGTTTGAATTCAAGCCATATCTGTTGCTCCTTGTTAACATGAAGCAAAAGTTTGTCCCCTCTCCCAGACTGAATCAGGTAGTGTCTGTTTTTTCCACGTTAGTTTGCCAGGATTGTATAAAGGTCTACACAACAGCCACATGGAAAATTCCCCATACTCCGTCATCTACAGGGTCAGAAGTCATCCTGTTTCTTAGTCACATTTTTGTGCTTCTTAAAGGAAAAAAAATCCTATAAATTATAGTTTGTGTATCCCTATTGTTTATTGAAAAGTCACTGTTAAATCAGCATTCTCTTTGAGCCGTAGAACTTTAAAATTGAGGACAAATGAAAGACAAATTTATAGATGTATAACATAAACATATTATCCTTATGATGCATAAATACACAAACATACAGTACATCCATCCACAATACTGGGTAGCTGGGCGAGCTGGTGCACGCCTGTAATCCCAGCACTCATGGAAACTGACGCAGAAGGATTGCAAGTTCAAGCCCAGCCTGAGCAACTTAGCAAGGCCCTGTCTCAAAATAAAATATTTTCAAAATGACTGGTGATGTAGCTCAGTGCAAAAGCCCTGGCTTAACTCCATAATAACACAAAAACAAAAAGAGAAAGAGAGGAAGGAAAGAGAAGAGAAAGAAAGGAAACAAGCAAAGAATATTGGGAAAATTTGTCATTACATTCATTAACACTCGTATTAAAAGGCACAATACTTTCATATACATATATACACCATTGTGAAATGTAACTTCTGAATTCTGAGTTTATTTTTAACTTCCAAATCCATTGAGCTAAATATTTGTAGTCTGTTTTTTGAGTCTGTTTTTAAATTCACACATCATCCAGGGCCTGCTGCATGGACCTGAAGCCCCAAGAATATGGGAGTGAGGGCCCTATTCAGCTTGGCATTGGCCTTGCTTTTTTCCAAAATGGTCCAAAGTCAAAGCAACAGGAATGCAGTGGTTGTTCTGGAGCAACTTTAAATTCTAGAGCAATTACAACTCCACCCCACCAAGGTTCTCAGGAGAGAGTGATGTCTGAAAAGATACAACGTACCAGAGTGCTGTTGATGCACACAGCTCCAGACTTCCCTACTCCTGTGGGCCAATCTTCATCTGGCTGAACTGTTTGCAATTTGACTACCCAAGAGTCCCCTAATTACTAACTCTCCTTCTCCCTGTGCCTCACCGCTTCACAGAGAGGAGCCGTAAATGAAGTTCATTGAGCTAATAAAAAAAAGTGTACCTTGTGGGAAGGGTAATGGGGTTGGAGGAGACCTGAGTTCTAGTTTGAGCTTTTTTAACCAGGGGGAGATACAGATACATTTTAATTTCAATTGCCCTAAATGTAAAGTACCATTAAATAAGATGGGCTCAGAAACCATTTGTTTGTGGTCCGCAAGATGAGACAGTGTGGCCCCTGTCAGAGCAGACCAACTCCCACAGAGGTGTTCTTCATTTCTCTCATACCTAGGAATGCACAGAATAGCTGGGGACAAAGGCAATCCATCTTGCACTGTGAGCTGTTTCCTTCTTAATCCCATGATAAAACTAGATCTTTATAAAACTGATTAAAATGACAAGAACATAAACTATTTGCTAGATTCTGTTTGCTGGTGTCATTGAACAATGAAACATAGTTATTGAGAATAACATCCAATCGCCTTACTCAAACATCAGTCTTAGTTTTTTTCTCATGAAGACTTTGAAATTATTGCTAACATAAGCCAAGTGCGTACAAGTTCAGTTTCCTTATTGCAGAAAAGTCTGAGAAATACAAGAGCAATAGTACCTTGGTGAAAGAGCATGCAGCTTCTCAGTGTATCTTCACTTTCTGGAACGATAATGCCAGAGGAACAAGGGTGCCTTCCTGCGTTCATCCCTGGAAGTCACAGCCTGACTCAGTGTCTAAACAGCGGTGCAGAAGCCTGCCGTGCACTATTTCAAGGAGGGACCTCTCTGCTAGCTTCCAAAGGAGATGTGCCCTGGAGGTGGGAGAGGATTGGCGTCCAGAGAGAAGCCTGGGAGACAGTGGTCTCAAGTGGATACGAATCTGGTCCAGGTAAAATGTTGTATCACCTGCTGAGACAGAAAGTGGGATACGAAGTGCGTGGGAATTGAATTCAAGGTCCCTGGGGAAACAGTGAGAGTGAGGACACAAATTCTAATTAAGACGGCAAAGAAAAGTCCACAGTGAAAAGGAAAGAGTCAAAGGGTTCACATTCTCATGTTTCATAAGGCGTCTTTGATGAAATAAAAATCCAGACCTTAAACGAACTTAGAAACAATAGCTGCTTTTTACCAGCTGTTTCTCAGATAAAGGTCTACTATCTAGAATATGTAAAGAACTAAAAAACAAAGCGAAATAAAACAAAAAAGACCCCAAAATATAAAGACCTAATTAAAAAAGGGGCATCTGAAATGAACAGACATTTCTCAGACAAAGAAGTAAACGCAGCAAATAAACATATGAAAAAATGTTGCACATCACTGGTCATTTGAGAGATGCAGATGAAAACAACACTGAGATTCCACCTCACTCCAGAAAGAATGGCTGCTATCAAGAAATCACTCAATAACAAATGATGGCGGGGTTTTGGGGAGAAAGGAACCCTTCTCCATTGTTGGTGGGAGTGCAGACTGGTGCAATCACTGTGGAAATTGATATGGAGATACCTCAAAGAACTAGGATTAGGAGGCCCCATTTGACCCAGCCATCCGTTTGCTGGGTATCTTCCCAAAAGAATTAAAAGAATCATACCATAGTGATATATGTGCACCCATGTTTATAGCAGCACAGTTTGTAATAGCTGAAACTTGGAAGCAGCCCAATTGCCCACCACCTGGAGACTGGATAAAGAAGATGTATGTGGAATGAGAAACAAGAAACATTTATAGCTAAATGGACACACATTGAGGTGATACTCTTAAGTGAAATAAATAGGACACACGAGTAAATATTGAATAGTTTCTCTGATGTGAAAAACTAAAAGTGTAAATAAGGTTCAAATGGTATAATTGGGAGCGTGAAATAGGAAGAAAATGGCCAAAAGGGGAAGTGGGAAGGGGAGGGGAAAGGAAATAAGGGAAAAGAAAAAATGAGAAAATGGAAACAAAGTCTTTGTAAGTAGGGAAGGGTGAAGGGGGTGAAGAGAGAGCAGGGGTATGGGGAAAAAACAAGAACCAAGATACAAGAGCTCAGTGGCAATAAATGTAACTGTATTATTTGCTTTAAATGTACCAATACAATTATTGGAAAATAAAAGATGTGTGTGTTTTAAAAAAAAATGAAATGGAGTACTACTCAGCCATAAAGAACTAGAAGTTAGAAACATTTATAGCTAAATGGATGCACATTGAGGCCATACTCTTAAATGAAATTAATAGGACGCACATATGTAAATACCAAATAGTTTCTGTGGTGTGAAGAACTAAAAGTGTAAATAAGGATCAAAATATATAACTGATAATGTGTAATAGGAAGAAAAGGTCTAAAGGAGTAGGGGAAGTGAGAGGGGTAGGGGAAAGGTAAGAGATGAAAAGAAAAAGTATGAGAAAAGGCAAAAAACGGAAACAGAGTCTTTGTAGATAGGGAAGGGTGGAGGAGTTGAAGAGAGGGCAGGGGAATGGGGAAAAAATAAGAACCAAGATGTCGTGCAAAGGTACAAGATCCCAGTGATGGATATAACTGCACTGCACACCTAAAACGTACCAGTAGACCTAACGGGAAAAGTAACAGCTGCTTTACTTCCTTATTATGTCTGAGCACATCCAACGTACTCCACTGTCACAACAGCCTGTTTCCACACTGCGCCCAAACTTTCTGTGTTCTGGGAGGAGCCATGCACACTAGTGCCTTGGTGCAAAGCCTCCTCTGCCTGTCAGACTGTGAACTAAATTTAAGTTCATGTAAGTCAAGTGACATACAGATCCGGAAATGTTAAACATTTCCCTCCAAATTCAGGAACAGGAAAAGGAGATTCACCTTGGCACTTATGTCAAATAGTTCTGGAACCCTAGGCTGAGCAGTTTGTCAAAATCAGAAATTAAATGTATCCACATTGTAAAAAAAAAAAAAGTAATAGAATCATCTAGCCAATCATGTCATTTCATGTAGTGAAAATGCCAAAGATACTAGCAATAAAACAATTAGCTCAAGGTCAGAATTCAGTGAGCTGCAGCTTATACAATCAATATACAAAAATCAATTGCCTTTCTACATAGCAACAATGAGCTTTCTAAAAATAAATAATCCCATTTATTAGCATCAGAAATAATGTGGATGTGGACCTCAAAGCATGTTTTAAAGCATTATTTCTAAAGAAGTCTGAGTTATAAAGTAGAACCTAATTTGTTCAATGATTAACAGACTCAGGGTTTGTAATGTTTAAAGAATGAGGTAGAGGAATATTTTCTAGTTATATACGAGAGGACTCTTCTGTTGCATATTTTGATACAATTGCTTTTTATGTCAAATAGCTGCAGTGCCCAAATACATTCAACTTAAATTATTAAAATACAAAAGTTCCACAAAATTAAAGAAGATGTAAATAATGTGATGTTGTGATGTGTGTTAATAGTGTGGAATGATTTAGATCTAATTAATATACTGTCATGTCACCTATCTCACACTTTTAGGATGAGACAATTTACCCACTTATTTTTAAATGTATATTATTACTGGCTATAGTCACCCTCCTATGTAATAAGATCTCAAATTTATTATTTCTATGTGAACATTTTACTGCTTTGTCAAAAATCTACCTTTTATACGCATAGAATTATAAGTTGTTGATCAAAAATAATATTAACAACAAATTTAAAAAGATATAAACAATGGCGAAGGCATCCCATTTTCAGGGAAAAAGCAACTATTGCTAAAATGTCCACATGAATCAAAGTGGCCTATGGATTGAGTGCAGTTCCGGTCATTTCCTGAGCCCTGTGCTGTTCATGCATTCCTCGAGCTTGGCCATGTTTCAGAGTTCACACATGGGTGGAGTCCTGTGGATTTTGTGTTTCTGTGTCTGACCATCTCCCCTAAAATTTTGATTTCTAGCTTCATCCATGATGACACAAACAAAGGGTTTTCTCCCTTTCTTACAGCTGAATTTTACTGGACTGCATATGTGGCTTCCTTTCCTTTGTTCACTGAGCCCAAATGCAGTCATGGGTGATTCCCTATTTTGGCCATTGTGATGGGTGTCTCCTTGTACACCCATTAAATTGCCTTCGAATAAGTATCCAGTCATGGAATATCTGGCTCATATAGTAATTCTATTTTTTATTTGCTTGAGCAAGTCCTGTACTGACCTCCACAGTGCTTGTCCAAATTTACATTCTCACCAACACTCTGTAAGACTTTCTCTTTTCAGCCGTGCACAGTGGTGCACGCCTGTAATCCCAGCACTCGAAAGGCTGAGGCAGGAGGATCGTTGTGAGTGCAAGACCAGCTGGGCTACAAAGTGAGTTCCAGGTCAGTCTCAACTACATAGTGAGACCTTGTCTCAAGAAACCAAACCAAACAAACAAACAAACAAAAGACTTTCGCTTTCTCCACATCCTCGCCAGCATCTGTCACGTGTCTTTCTGATCGGACTACTGTAATTAGAGTATGTATCTCATTTTGGCTTTTTCGTTTCTTTGTTTGATAATGTTATTGAGTGCTTTCCACATAGTGGTCGGCCATTTGTGTGTTTTGTTTAAAACATATCTCTTCATGTGATTCACTCCTTTTTAGTTGGATTATTTTTATTTTGTTGTTGGCATAGTTCAGTTCCTTGTGCAGTCTATGTAGTAATGCATTGGGTAGCGAGCGGTTCACAGATCTCTTCTCCCTTTCCGTAGGTTGTGTCTTTACCCTTCATTACATCCTCTGCTGTACAGGCGCTCTTTAGGTTGATATACACCAGCTGTCTATTTATATTTGCTGCCCGAGCATCAATGTTCTCTAGAAACTCCCTCCTCAGACCCAAGCCAGTTTCTTGATTTCCTTTACTTGGGCGACGATGCATCCCCCTAGCACTAGGTGGCGCGCTAAGTTCACGTTTCAGGGCTCTTCCGCGCATGTCCCGCTCTGCCCTTTCCTGTGAGCTCCTGAACGCGTGCGCAGTGGGGATGCCTGGAGTGCCCCCTGCAGGTGGTACCGCGCAGAGCCCGGGCGCTGACCGCGGACCCTTCCAGGCCAGGGCAGGGCTGCTGGCAGGAACCTGGGACGCGGGGTCTCCGCCAACGGACCCCACTTTCACCAGGTCAGAGGTCGTGACCCGGGAGCAGGGGTCACCGTCTGGTGAGCAACCCTGCTTCTGGGAGGGGAGGGCCGCAGTTCACAGGACAGGCCTGCGTGTCTGTAAGGCCTCAGGGAAAAATGTTTTTGAGTGTTTCCTGGAAGGACAAAAGGCTTGAGTAGCTGCAGCTTATCTCAAAAGTACATTTTAAAAATCCTTATATCCTTGTCTCCTTTCCGACCTACCTCACCAGGGACTGCACCGCTGCTGTGTTAAACTGGGACGCTCCAGCTGGGAGCTTTGCCTCTGGAGAGTTGATTGACTTCTGCGGAGTAAAGCCGAATGCCGCAGGTTTTGTTCTGGTTATTTTTAGTTGCTTAGATATGCATGAGATGCAATTAAGCTATAGATTTTGGAAAGTGTTCGCGTATTTTCTGACGTTCTTTGGTCCCTGTTGTGTCTCCAGTGACTAGCTCAAGGATGGCCACGCAAAAGCACTCATATAACATTTATGGAGTGATTGATAAGCTCAGGACAGAACAGCAGAGAGCGTGAATAAATCAGTGGCTTGCTGTGTTAATGAGGGCTCAACGGAAAACAGCTGAAAATGGCTAAAGTGTTAGCTTAGTAAAACTAAGGGCAGTCAGTTTTCCTTCTCTGTGCTTTGGAACATTTTGGTCCTTGCAGCTGAATTTCTTCAAGGAGCGAAGTTCCCAGGGTATGTTGAGATGCCAGCTGCCTCTCTTTATGCTCTTGTCCTCAGTGGAAGTAAACATGGTTTGGCTCCTGCATCTGATGATGACTGCGCAGGGCCTTGTATTTAACTGGCGAGTTGCTGGAGTGAGGACCTGAGGCCTCAGGCTTGTCTCAGGGTGGTCAACTACCCCAAGTACTCCTGGAAACGAATGTTCTCCTTCTCTAAAGAAATGCCAGGAGAACTGTGTTACAGTATTTTACTCTCTGTTCCGTCTAACCTCAGTGCCAAAGCGACAGGAGTAAGCAATAAGAGCTTCCCAGTAGCTTCAGGGTTCTCTGCTAGTCTCAGCTAGAACCGATTCTCTTTGGATCATGACCGTGTAGTGCACCATGCCTTTCTTACAACCTGACCATTGCTGTCCTTTGTAGACGCTCTTTCAGTAGGGAAAAAGGAAGGCAGGAATCCAAGTGACAAGGAACAACAGCAAACTAAACATTCTTTTCAACAGCACAAGGAACTTTCTCCAAAAAAGACCACATTTTAGGCCATAAAATCTCAGTAATTACAAAAGAACTGAAATAGTCTCACATATCCTATCATGGTAATGGGCTAAAAGTAGAAAAAAAAAGCAAACAAAACCCCCATGGGCTACAACCCCCCCCATGACTATTATGTAATACACTATTTATTTTTAATGTTTTCCTTAACATTTAATAGAAGCTATGTGTAATAAAATTTGGCTGTATATTACATGAGGTAGGCAGAAATTTACATAGAAGGAAGATAGGTGGTTAAGGAGGGCCCAGGTCTTTGGGATAGTTTTTCAGAGCAGACTCAGGAATGAACTAAGATCTGTCATGTAAAGGTACAAGATCCCAATGGTGAATGTAACTATTGCATATCTAAAATGTACCAATGAACTTCATGGAAAAAAGTTACATATCAATTTCTCTTATATGAAAAATAGATAAATAAGAACAACAACAACAACAACAAAAACCCAGGGCCAGGGATGTAGCTCAGTGGCACCACACCTCTCTCATAAGCATAAGGTCCTGAGTTTGATCCCTGGTACAAAACAAACAAACAAACAAACAAACAAGCAAACAAAACAAACCAGAAAAGCACCCAAAATAAAGGAGAGACATCAGGGAATGAGCAGGTAGATTTGGGGAGATTGAAGAAAGGATTTGTAGTGGATTGACTAATGGGCAACTTGTAACGCCCAGCTGAACTGAATCAGTGTGTTCTGGGTGTGGAGGATCCACCTGAGGATTGTTGCCAATGACTTAAAAAGAACTGCTGGGGGAAGATCTTGGCTTGTTGATTTTCTGGAAGAGGCTTGCTGTGGCTGGTTTTCCTGATGCAAACCAGGCTGTTTGAGGAGCTTGGGGCCTTGCTGTCACTGGGAATGGCTGCTGTTCTTGTCAGGGGAGCTCTGATCAACACATTCATTGCTCATGAAGGTTAAGAGACCGAAGCCCAGGCTTGAGTGATGCCCAAGGCCATGAGCAGCGGAGCTGGTTTGAGACCCAGATCAGCTGTGCTCTCTCACACACACAAAGCATCTGCCTCTTAGAGCTGCTGATGCCATAAAACACCTGTGAGAGCAGAAAATGCCTGATGGCAAAAGGACAGGGACAGGGAGGTCACCTTCACCTGTTCAAAGGCACCTGTCAAACCTGTCAAATTATTCCACTGTTGTGTGTTTGTTCTTTATCTCTGTTAAAGAACAAACCAGGAGCATCATCAGAAGGGTGATGTCAGCGTGTCCTATAGTGCCACCTTTTGGGGACATCTAGATGGGCTCTGCACATAGCCACCCAGAGATTGTGTTCGTTGTGGAGACAGATCAGCCGGTCAAGGCAGCGAGGGTAAATTCAAAAGTCTCAGACACAATTGCTGCAGTGCCTGAGATATAAACTAAGAACCCAGAGAATCCTCTCTCCATGTAGAGAACCCTACATAAGAACACCAAGGGCCCAGATGAAGCAGGGCGCCTGTCCTAAGAATCCATTCCTGTTCTTGGTATCACATTAACTCTTTAGAAAGACATAAATGGTGGAAAGGAGAGGTTGAATACCATGTTCACAGGAGCACAGCCTGGAAATGAAAAGGCCAAGATTCAAACTCAGATGAGTTTCCTTCCAAGCAAGGGTCTTTAATGCCATTAAGTTGCCTCTGAACATGGAGGATGGGGTAAAAATAATCAAATATAAATGACATATTAAAAGTAGACTATGCATTCTAAACACTGAATATTGAGGTATAGGGTACAAAGCTCAGTGGTGCTGCTGCCTGCCTCGAAAGGGCAAGATCCTGAGTTCAACCAAAAAAGACAGGAGATGGAGTATTTTAATAAAATATACTAAAACAACAGGAGATTTACTGAGCACAAGAAGAATGTTTAGGGCAGGGACTCCTTTTCACACTAACCATCTGAAAGCCATTCCAAAGCCCAGACTACAGCAGGAATATTTTAGGGGTAGGTCTTAAACTTAGTATTGAAAGTGAAAGGTTGTCATTTAATGATGCCAAATCATTTAATGATGCCAAATCATTCTGTGTTATCCAAGAAGCCCCACTTAGGCAGGAATGTTGGTTGTACAGGGTTTTCCATTAAGTTTATTGGTACATTTAAAGCAAACAATACAGTACATTTATCATTGGGATCTTGTACCTTTACATGATGTGTCTTGGTTCTTGTTTTTTCCCCACACCCCTGCCCTCCCTTCACTCCCTTCATCCTTCCCTATGTACAAAGGCTTTGTTTCCATTTTTTCTTTTCCCTTATTTCCTTTCCCCTCCCCTTCCCACTTCCCCTTTAGCCATTTCTTCCTATTTCACACTCCCAATTATAGCATTTGAACCTTATTTACACTTTTAGTTTTTTACACCAGAAAAACTATTTGGTATTTACTCAAGTGAGTCCTATTAATTTTACTTAAGAGTATAGTCTCAGTGTGCATCCATTTAGCTATTAATGTTTCTAGTTTTTCCATTCCTTATGGCTGAGTAGTACTCCATTTTATAGAAAACCGACATCTTCTTTATCCAGTCTCCAGTTGATGGGCATTTGGGTTGTTTCCAAGTTTTAGCTAATACAAACTATGCTGCTATAAACATGGGTGCATGTATATTGCTGTTGTATGATTCTTTTGGAAAGATACCCAGCAGAGGGACAGCTGGTCAAATGGGACTTCTAATCCTAGTTGTTTGGGGTATCTCCATATTGATTTCCACAGTGGATGTACCTGTCTGCACTCCCACCAACAATGGAGAAGGGGTGGTTGCACAGTCTTTAATTGCCCCCAAAGACGAATTCATAGAAAGAAAGAGCTGTTGAATGTCTGTTGGATGCCTGATGTGTAGGCATCAGAAAATCGTAAGTGACTATGAGATGTTTTCCTCACAGAAGTAGTGGCAATTCCGTAGTAGTAACGATAAAAGTTGCTGTTGCCACTGTCTTGTGTTGGTTGTGACTGTATGTAGTTGTAGTTAGAATGGTGAGTGCTTGCTCTTAGCCAGGCACTCTGTAAAGTCCACCGTATGGGCAGTCTGAGAGCAGGCTTACATGGGATTCATCAGCCCACTCCTAAGTGAGGTCAGAGCCTTTCCTGTGCTTAATTTCTCCACTACCTTCAAAAATTAAACCATCTAAATTTTGTGCTCTACTCATCTTGTCAGCTTCTACTCCTTTTTTTTTGGCGCACTGAGTGCACTCCAAAGACCACCTCCACTGAAACTGCCCGATTAGTATCTCAAGTGATTTTCCATTTCTAAATACAAAGATCACATCTCATTTTTCATTTTAATACAAAATAAATTGTACTTCTTGCAGTTAATTGTACCTCCCTCCATACTTACCTTCTTCATTTGTGCTCTGAGCATGTTTCTTACCTTATCAGATTTTATCTTTTGCCCTATTTATGTCTCATTTGACCCCAGTTGCTTCAAGTCTGAGTCTGAAAGTTCTTCCTGTAAGGAAGTGATCTCAGCTAACTTTGGAAGTCCACCTGAATCAACTATTTTGTTTCTTTAGAGAATCATTACCTATGGAAACTACTAAATGCATTTCTTGAGTTTAGAACTCTAATCTGGACTCTGCTTGGCTAGATATATGACTATACATTGAATAGGACTT